CCTTTATGTCGTCGAAAGGAGTGTTTTCTGGTATTTGAATTGGAATTCCGGTCGAAGTCTCGAGATTCAAGGCAGCCCTTCCAGAAATAGTGGTGAACTTGACCTTGGGCTTCATGACCTTGCGCAAGTAGTCTTTTACGCAGTCGTTAATTTAAATTAGGTAAATTGCCTCGTCAAATCCTTCTGGCATTCCGAGTCCTTCCATCCGACAGGAAAATATTTTCCCGACAACTGGAAAAAATTTTCCGGACAAAAGGAAAAATTTTTCCCGACGACAAGAAAAAATTTTCCAGTTGTCCGTCCGTAAACCATTCAAATTTTCGAAAATTGAGAACTTTTTGGTCGAACTTCAGAAAAAGTTTTTCCTTCCGACAGAAAAAGTTTTTCCTTCCGACAGAAAAAGTTTTTCCTTCCGACAGAAAAAGTTTTTCCTTCCGACAGAAAAAGTTTTTCCTTCCGACAGGACACAAACAGATGACTGACGTCCCACCAACCGAGTCCATTCCCAAACCAGAGGAACCTAAAGAACCACAACAGTCTCCTCAGCAACCTCAGTTCCAGCAAGTACCTCCGAATTTCTACCAATTTCCACCTCAAGGTTACTACCCACCACAAGGCTTCCCGAACTACCCTCCTCTGCCTATGCCTTACTGCCCCAACCCTTGGATGTTCCAGCAAGCTCCACCCCAGCAATTCCAATCTCAATCCAAATCGAAGAGAGACCAAGAGTTCGAAGAAGGTCTGAACCGTTTACGCAAAGAGTATGCCCCAGCTCCAATTGAGAGAAAGTTGTTCCCGGACCAAAAATATAATTTATGTTAACATGTTAGATCTAACACGTTTTCTAACACGTTTTCTCACCCTCATAACTTTGTCATGACTTCTTCGTAAACTAAACGTAAATGTTTTGTGAAGAATATAGCAACCGCCGGAATTCAGACGGTTGCTTTTTATACAAAATTCATGCGGGAAATTCTTGAGTTTTGGTTGAAAGAATACGGTGGAGCCAAAAGTGGCTCGACCTCAAAACAAGCATTTTATGAGCTTACAAAGGGTGTTATGAATGAATTCAAAGGTATTTGCATACATCCTGACCTCGTTCATTTTGTTCCCGGACCAAAAATATAATTTAGGGTAGAAGGTTAGATCTCACCTGTTTTTTCACCTCTTTTTTCACCTCTTGAATTTGTCAAGACTTCTTCGTAAATGTTTTGTCAAGACTTCTTCGTAAATGTTTTGTCAAGACTTCTTCGTAATGAGTGTAAAGGACCCAAAAATATAATTTAGGGTAGAAGGTTAGATCTCACCTGTTTTTTCACCTCTTTTTTCACCTCTTGAATTTGTCAAGACTTCTTCGTAAATGTTTTGTCAAGACTTCTTCGTAAATGTTTTCGTTATGCCACTTTGTGCCGTCAGTCAGTCAGTCAATGAAATTTACACCAAAAATATAATTTAGGGTAGAAGGTTAGATCTAACCTGTTTTCTAACCTGTTTTCTACCCTCGTGAATTTTCATGAATTTCCTTAAGATAGAAAAAATAAAGTTAGTTTTATTTTGTATGTAAAGATATGATTTCAGGGATTTTTTTGACGAAGTGCAAACGTTCACTTCGTCAAAAAATAACAGTTATATAATGAAAAAGTGTCATTTTTTGTATTTTTTTGTATGTAAAGATATGATTTCAGGGATTTTTTTGACGAAGTGCAAACGTTCACTTCGTCAAAAAATAACAGTTATATAATGAAAAAGTGTCATTTTTTGTATTTTTTTGTATTTGACGAGAATGTCGGGTAGATGGTTAGATCTAACACGTTTTCTAACACGTTTTCTAACCTCTTGAATTTGTCAAGACTTCTTCGTACATGTTTTGTCAAGACTTCTTCGTAAATGTTTTGTCAAGACTTCTTCGTACATGTTTTGTCAAGACTTCTTCGTAAATGTTTTGTCAAGACTTCTTCATCGTAATGAGTGTAAAGGACCCAAAAATATAATTTAGGGTAGAAGGTTAGATCTAACCTGTTTTCTAACCTGTTTTCTACCCTCTTGAATTTGTCATGACTTCTTCGTAAATGTTTTGTCAAGACTTCTTCGTAAATGTTTTGTCAAGACTTCTTCGTACATGTTTTGTCAAGACTTCTTCGTACATGTTTTGTCAAGACTTCTTCGTAAATGTTTTGTCAAGACTTCTTCGTACATGTTTTGTCAAGACTTCTTCGTACATGTTTTGTCAAGACTTCTTCGTAAATGTTTTGTCAAGACTTCTTCGTACATGTTTTGTCAAACATGAACGTACATGCTTTGTCAAGACTTCTTCGTAAATGTTTTTTCACCTCTTTTTTCACCTCTTGAATTTTCATGACTTCTTCGTAAATGTTTTGTCATGACTTCTTCGTAAATGTTTTGTCAAGACTTCTTCATCGTAATGAGTGTAAAGGACCCAAAAATATAATTTAGGGTAGAAGGTTAGATCTAACCTGTTTTCTAACCTGTTTTCTACCCTCTTGAATTTGTCATGACTTCTTCGTAAATGTTTTGTCAAGACTTCTTCGTACATGTTTTGTCAAGACTTCTTCGTACATGTTTTGTCAAGACTTCTTCGTAAATGTTTTGTCAAGACTTCTTCGTACATGTTTTGTCAAGACTTCTTCGTACATGTTTTGTCAAGACTTCTTCGTAAATGTTTTGTCAAGACTTCTTCGTACATGTTTTGTCAAACATGAACGTACATGCTTTGTCAAGACTTCTTCGTAAATGTTTTTTCACCTCTTTTTTCACCTCTTGAATTTTCATGACTTCTTCGTAAATGTTTTGTCATGACTTCTTCGTAAATGTTTTGTCAAGACTTCTTCATCGTAATGAGTGTAAAGGACCCAAAAATATAATTTAGGGTAGAAGGTTAGATCTAACCTGTTTTCTAACCTGTTTTCTACCCTCTTGAATTTGTCATGACTTCTTCGTAAATGTTTTGTCAAGACTTCTTCGTAAATGTTTTGTCAAGACTTCTTCGTACATGTTTTGTCAAGACTTCTTCGTACATGTTTTGTCAAGACTTCTTCGTAAATGTTTTGTCAAGACTTCTTCGTACATGTTTTGTCAAACATGAACGTACATGCTTTGTCAAGACTTCTTCGTAAATGTTTTTTCACCTCTTTTTTCACCTCTTGAATTTTCATGACTTCTTCGTAAATGTTTTGTCATGACTTCTTCGTAAATGTTTTCTAACCTCATTTCTACCCTCTTGAATTTTCATGACTTCTTCGTACATGTTTTGTCAAGACTTCTTCGTAATGAGTGTAAAGGACCCAAAAATAAAGTTTAGGTGAAGAGGTTAGATCTAACCTGTTTTCTACCCTCATTTCTACCCTCGTGAATTTTCATGAATTTTCCCGAAATAAAAAATAAAGTTAGTTTTATTTTTTTATTTTTTTTTATTTTGTATAAAAGATATGATTTCAACAATAGGTTCTACAACAATTCAAACAACAGCACCAAACTCGTTAGTCATGAATCCAACATCTATGTTAGTAGAAATGAAAAGCTTCATTCCTTCTTCATATACTTTCGAAACAGAAATACAAAGAATAAAGCAAGAACTTTTAACAAGTAATTTAGACTGTAGTGCGAAAGATGAAACAAATGAACAGTATCTTTATGAAATGCAGGACCTCATCGACCATTTGCCTAAACTACCTGAAATCCAACAACAAAAACTCACTATTCCTGAATTCGACGAAATTGAAGTCAAAGCAACTGACTCAGTAGAAATAAAGAAGTTCATACGAAAGGTAAACTATGAGTTTCTAGGATTTCATTGCAACCATAAGGTTATGGACAAAGATTGCGACATGGTATATAAGAATGTTTCTGACATATATAAATCTGAAGAATTTAAGACCTACGACAACTTTGTTTCGTTAGTTGCTGAATGTGTATGGCAGATAAGAGATAAAGATAAAAGATGTAAAATATGGAACAAACAAATAAAACCAGCAGCTTTTGAGATGAAGAGAGCAATTGACGCCTTGGTTGTTCTAGCAGGTAAGGTTTCAGAATATAACGCAAAAATGAACCCGCAATGTTCAAAATGTAAGGCAGCAATGAGGAGATATAACTACTCCGTCAAAGAGATAGAAAGAATGAGAAACGACTATGCAGATTTAAAGAAAGAAGCAGAAAAGCCAGCAGAAGATAAAATGGACATGTTAGAATTTCTGAACAAAAACTATCCAACAGCAGAAGATTTCCTTCTATCTGACGTCAAGAAGAAATATAAAGAAACCTTCGGCATAGTTAAAACATTCGATATCCTCAGCGAAGAAATAGAAGCTACAAAACTGTTTAGAGTCTCACGAATTCATAACGTTTACCATGTAAAACGCTTATAAAATAACTGGGGTAGAAAAGAGGTTAGAAAACAGGTTAGATCTAACCTTCTACCCTAAAATATATTTTTGCTGAAAAATGACCAAAATTCTGAGTAAAATAATTTTTAGGGCATGTGTCAAACCGTTGAGTTTTCACAAAATTTAAAAAATAACGTTTACCATGTGAAACGCTTATAAAATAACTGGGGTAGAAAACAGGTGAGAAAACAGGTTAGATCTAACCTTCTACCCTAAAATATATTTTTGCTGAAAAATGACCAAAAATCATGAGTTTTGTGTGTTTTAGACCATGTTAGAAAACAGGTTAGATCTAACCTTCTACCCTAAAATATATTTTTGCTGAAAAATGACCAAAAATCATGAGTTTTGTGTGTTTTAGACCATGTTAGAAAACAGGTGAGAAGTAAGTAAAAAACCCCAGTCGCAAAAACTCGAGTAAGTAAAAAACCCCAGTCGCCAAAACTCTATGAAAATCGTGAAAATTTGCCAAACGGTTTGAGAGGATATTATGTACATAGACTTCTTGTAAATGCTGTTGCAATGTGGGCTTCGCCTCGTTATGCTTGGTATATTTACAGACTTCTTGACGAACTTCACAGACAAGAACGTGAAGAGATGGAAAAGAAACTTCATGCAAAAGACAAAAGCCTTCAGAAAAGAATACCACGTTCGGTACCAAAAGGAAAGGAAAAGAACTATAAGTATATGATTTATACTGAAGAGATGGAAAATGAAGAAGACAGAGATATGGTTATGTTGCATTTAGTCAGAAGAAACAACAAAAGCTTTTACGACCTTGCTAAGATTTACAAATCTGACAGAAATTGGTTCTATCGCGAAAACTTACCGATTTCAATGACACCAAATGAAGATGTGAAACAAATAGTTCAAGATACTTTACCTCAAACACACTATGATATTAAAGGTTGTACAATTCTTACCTTCAAAGAAGATTTGCCATTGTTAAAGGAAAAAATAACAGAGTATTTTGACAACTTCAAACAAGTAGAGTAAATGCACTCTTTATTTTTACGCTTGACTTTTTACAATTTGAACTTTGTTTGCGTAGATATGAATTCTGAAAGAAGTATGAGGGTCTTGTATGACTTTGTACTTCTCCCATAGTTCATGTCTGTCAAACTTACCTGCCATGGACTCTTTCATAAGTTCCATGAAATCGTCTTCGGACAATCCGGGGAAAAGTATAATGTCAGTAAGTATTCTTTTAACATCCTTACTTAAACTCTTTGCTGTCTGTACACAAATGACAACTGAGATGTTAAAGTGTCTGAGCTTCTTAAGAATTCGACACATATCTTGTTCTCTGTTCTTTAACAAAGGATGAGAAGCAAAGTCATCTAAGATAAGAAGACATCTATGAGGGTAAGTCTTCCAATCGTAAGATTGCAATTTCTTCGAAATGTATTCTATCTCTTTCTGTTTGTTTCTGAAGTGTTTCTTCTCTAATATTCTCTGCATTTCCTCATTTGGGTCTTTAAACTTCGAATTGACATACTCATTTATAGCATTATACTTCAAAACTCTTCTTTGGTACTTCTTTATCCAATCTAACAACTCAGTATCCTTTATACATACTAACTTAGACTTCTTTATAATATCTTTGAACGAATTGACGGTTTGGTCAAATTGACCCGAAGTACTACAAATGACAACTAACTCATAGAATGGGTTCTTCTCATCTAGTTCTTGTTGTTGTGCAGCCATTTTAAGATAAGTGAAAGTCTTACCAGACCCAGGCGGTGCAATTAGACCTGTTATACCATTCTGAGCAAATAAGAACTTGTCATGTATGGGTTTTATCTGAGCATTTTCTAACTTCCTCTTGTTCTTGTTTAAAACATTCTCAAATTTCTTGTCAATGTCAGCAAACTTTTTTTCTAACATATTTTTAGAAAAATTAAAATTTTTATCTTTTAGAAAATGTCTAGCGATTTCGCTATCTATATTCGAGACAAGCTTTTCGACAGCAAAACATCTGTCGACCATAAAATCTTACATAGTGTAAACAAGAAAGGTGAATTTGTTCTAAAGTTCTGTTTCTGGGAATATGACAAGAACCATAAAACATTAAGCAGAGCAGTCTTAAAATTTGTCAATGACAGACTTGTTGACAGAGATGACGCCTCTTGGAGAGATGAAGTCCAACAAAACTTCTTAGAATGCAAAGAAGACACATGCGCTGTTCTTGAAGATGAAATAGAAAACAGAATAGAAGAGCTATTAAAGGACAAAGAACTTTTACAAAAATATGGTTCTGAGAAGTTTGACATAACTCCACCAGAAAAGAAGAAGAGAGAAAAGAAAGAAAAGAAAGTAGAAGAAGAGAAGAAAGAACCTGAACCAGTTCCAGAGAAAAAGAAATTTGACATGTAAAAATAAAATTTTATTTTTAGAACATTTCTGGGTCAATGTCAATGTTCTCTTCCTCTTTAGGAGCAAACACTGGCTTAGACTCTAAAATCTTTTTACCCAATTTACCTTGAACTTCTACAACTTTAGACTCATAATATTCATAGTCGTCTGCTTTCTTTGGTTCATAAGGTATAACAAGTTTGTATGCTTTGCCTTCTTTAAGGTTTGAAAACCTTCTGTCAAAACTTTCTTTGACTGTTAACAAACCTTCTATGTCTAAGTCTTCAAATTTCGCACCATTTTTAGTCACAATAGCAAACTTAACTGGTTCGATGTTCCAAACTTTGCTGAATGAAGACTTTTCAAAATGGTAGAAGTAAACATTCAAATATGTGAATGGGTCTAGTTCTTCTTTAAGTCCTGACATGTACTTGTTTACTGAGATGAATTTTGCCATCTTTTCTATCGGATAAAAAAAAATATTTTTTTTAAATTTACTCAGAAAAATTTTTCTTTGTATATACACCATTCTGAACATCTAAAAGACTTTTGACATTTGCCAAGAATGTTCGTTTAGACGCTGTCATATAACCATATTCTTGACAATATTGTTTATACGAATCGTACAATGACCTTTCATCTAATGACACAAAGTCAGTTTCATCTATGAACAGTTCATATACACTCTTGTTTGCTTCTAACAATGTTTGTCTCTCTTCGGTATGTGGAATTTGTCTTGGATTGAACTTTGAAATATCTAATGTCATAAAATATGAGAACAAGTGGTTGTAAAAGTCAGATGTCAAAGTTTCTGACAAAGCGTCAAAATATTCTGTATCTTGCATATGAGCTTCTGACGTTCTGACAACTACATATCTTCTGTCAGAACTTTCTAACTTCATCGGAACAGCATTGTTTGAAACCATAACGAAGTTTGCAACATTTTCACAAAACTCTTTGGTCTTTATATTTTCTTTCAACAACTCCAACTTTGTCTGTTATAAGACTCTTCAAAGCATCTGAGTTCAAAACTTTTGTTGTATCTATACTTTGAAGTTCGTTACATACTATAAGTTTCATATTCTCTATTGAAGAGTTAAATTTACCGCAGATGTTTTCTAAGTTTGTCATATTAGGGTTCGAATAGCCCTCTAACAGTTTGCATAAGATATCTGTAAAGAATGTGTTCTTACCTGTTCCTTGTTTTCCAATTATAATGAGAGCAGTTTCATTCTTAGCACTTGGATGTTGTAAGATGTTTGCAAACCAACATAAGATATACTCATAAACCTTTTCGTTTCCATTGCATATAATTTCTTTGACATGGTCTAACCAAGCTTCTATAATATTTTCTTTCCATTCTACTTGTTCATATTTATATCCAGTGAAGATAGAATAGAAGTTTTGAGATGGTGTATAAAACTTTATACCACGAACTGAAAAATCTTCAAGTTTTGACAATAAGATATCCCAAGCATCTAACATCTTCATGCCAACTTGTACGACTTTTATTTTCTTAAGTTTCTGTCTACATTCTTGTTCTGAAACTATTGTTGCTCTTGGTTTGTTAAAGACTACATCCCATTCTTTCATAACATAACATTCTGGGGCAGAGTCGACATAAATGACTAAACGTTTCAAATTCTCGACTGCTTTGTTATAGTCTCGAAATGGACACATATTTCTGAATGCTTGGAAGTCATAAAAATCTGAAACATCTATTCTGTACATTTTTATAAAAATAAAAAAAAATATTTTTTTTTATTCTTGACTTTGTTGTTGCATTTGTTGCATTTGTTGTTCTTGAGCTATTTGTTGTTGAAGTTGTTCTCGTAATACAATACTTTCACCAGTTGCATCTTCCAATTCGAAACTTTCTGCCGTCATTGACAAATACATAGGACATAAAAGTTTTACAGGAACAAAGTTTGCGTCAACTAATGTCAACGTTATACTTGCCAAAGTGTTTGAGTTCACTAAGGTTGAAAATTCTGCATTCGAATGAACAATAGGCAAACCAGCAGAGAAAGTATTGTTTATACGCATAAGTATCTTTTGGTCATAATAGTTTCTGTCAACATTCGAATAACACTTTGAACCTAAGTTTGAAACAATATATAAGATTGGTGTGCTTAATGTCAATGGAATAGACATTCCTTGTATGACACCTTTTCCTGTTATAGGAAACTGTTGGTAGTAAAAACCAGAAATAAGTTTTGTATTATAGCTCATATCGTTTATAGTAAACTCAGTCGGACATCCAAACATAATGAAACCTGCTCTAGTTGCAGCACATGTTACACCCGTACTTAAAGTATTAAATAAGTCAACAAAACCTGTTGGTGGTATATCTGAGTAAGTATCTTCAAAGGAGTATTTTTTACCATTCACAACAATAAAATCTTCTGGTGTCAAAAGAGCAAAACAAGCTTTAGTCGTCATTGTGTTTAAGGTTAGTTTACAATATCGTCCTTGAGGACTTTGTAAGTTTGTTGTTATAGAATTATATGACTCAGGGTTTTTAGTCGTAATAGTATAAACCATTATATCTTCTGCCATTTACATATATTTAAAAGTTTTTCTGAAAGTGGAGAAGAACTTCATCTAAACTTTCACATGGCGTTTCTTGAAGTTCTCTGTCTAAGAAGTTCAAATATTTTGTAAAGACATAGAACTTTCCTTTGTCTACACGAACAAACAAAACAGGGTCTTTCATATCGTTCAAAAGTGTGTAAAGTCCTTAACATGAAATAAAGTCTATATTATTTTTCTTCAAACATCTTTCAAGCAGTTTTGACATTTTTACTTAGCAAATAAACTTTAATGAAATGTTGTGGTCGTCAAATATTTTTATAACGTCTGGGAAACTATATTTTAAGTTCAACGTTTCACCTCCTTTCATAACGTATATCTTGTCAATGACATTATATGAAACACCACAGCAACTAACGTCGGGTTCTATTTCTTTGATGTTTATATCGTCTGCCTCTGTCAAAAGTTTCAATAGTTCTTTCAAAACTTCATGAGGTGCAATGACATATGAGTTCACTTTTACAGGGTTGTGTTCGACCAAGTTTAACATTATACTTAAAGCTTGACAAATCTTCTCCTGAGTTTGAAGTTTGTCTTTCAGTTGTTGGTAGTCGTTTCGAATATCTGCAACAGAACTTAAGTCTCTGCTAACTTCAGGGTATGTTGGTTGTTCTTTTATAGGAACTATTGTTATACCATCTTGGTCTTCGTATGGTTTCCCCACTTCAACATCTCTGTCTTTGACATTGACAACAACACTTTGACTGTTTGTTTGAGTTGGTGAATTTAACTTCACATCTGCCACCGCCATTAAACCTTTTGAAACACTTACGCTTCTATTTTTCGGAAATGACATTTTACTTAGAATAAAAAGATGGACGTATTCGAGTATCTCTTCGAATTGAAGCAGAACAAAGTTTACACACACAAACAATACAAATACATTGACAGAATAGTTCTTTATACAAACAATGGAAAATGTTATAGAATAGCAGTCTTTGCTGAACCAAAATATTTTCATAAAGCAAAGAAAGTTGGTATAACTGAAATGGTGAAAGTTCTTGAAGCAGACAAAAATATAACAACAAAACTTACAGATATTTCTAAAGGTAAGTTTATAATACAATATTATGTCAAAACTGGCGTACTGTCAATATTTGACGGAGAGAAGTCAGTTCAAGAACAACTTACTGACCTGCTGCCAAAATCTGCTCGATGGAAGCTGTCGTTATGCCAATCTGAGGAGCCCCAGCAGGTTTCATCGAACGAATCGTCAAAAGAGCATCTTCCGTGAAAAGTGCTATTGGTTTTGTAAACTTCTTTGCTTTCAATTCATCTGGACCGTCTCTGTCACCAGTATATTGTATTTGAACTGTACCAACAGTTGAAATACCACCCATAAAGTCTTCTGAGTCAGCAAATGGAATGCCAAGCCAAAAGTTTGAACGGTCTCCATTTGTATATTGAGTTTTTTGACCTCCTGTATGAGTCCATACTTTCACATATGGCATAATAGAACTTTGCATTTCAGGGTTAATGGTTGTTGTGAAGTTGTTGTTAAAGTTCATAGCATCTAATGTCAAGTTGTATGACCTCATATCCTCAACTGTAGAATATTCTTCTCTTGGATAATATTTGCCATCTATGTTTATATGATATTTAATACCGGGTTGTAGAAACAAGAATAGTCATTTATAGTTCGTCTGAACAGTACAAACATAGTATCTGCATGTTTCATTGCAGTTGTTAAGGCAATATCTGTTCTTGCACCTGGGTCAGCACTTTGGTTTCCAACTTCACCTGCAAAGTCTTTGACAGATATTTGGTGTATAGGGAACATAAGTGGAACTGCAATATATTTGGCAGCTAAAGCATTTGAAATATCTGGGTCCAACATATAGACTGCAAGTCTGCTTTCTATTCTCTTGCATTCAAATTTTTCGCATGTGAACTTAACTGGGTCCCAAGCAGTTCCAGCAGCATTGAAATAATAGTTTACTTCAGTGTTGAAGTTTGAGAAACCAAAGTCTAAGTCAACTTTGTCTTTGCAAAAGTCACAGAACTTGGCTCCACCAGTTCCAGCTACAGTAAGAGTGAATGGGTCTTGTGTTGGTGCAATGACTAAGTTATTTTTGCTTGGAGTAAGTTCGATAGAAATTTTTCCTGCCCAGTTTGGCAAGTATCTTAAAAAACCTGAAGATGAGGAAAGATGACAAAGGAACTCTAAGTTTCAGTTTTACTTTAGTGACAGCATTTCCATCTGAACCAGAAAGGTTAACATAAACTCCTGGAACGTTAGGGTCAAGTCTTCTTATTTTCTCAATGGTTGCATACTGGTCTGTTTGTTCTCTAGCTTGTGGTTGTACTGAGTTTCTCAAAGCGAACCATTCATAGTTTGCCCATGTTACTGTTTGAACTAAGTCAGAGTTAGAATATATCTTATATCCCATGAAACTTCTGGAGCATATTGGTATCCGACATAGAAAATTCCATTGCAACCTTTCTTGTCAGACAACTTGGCAGAAGGTTTTATTTCAATGTCTTGTTCCACGTATAAGAATGAGTTGTCAATAGAAATTATATGAAACCTGTCGCAAGCAATATCTACTGTTGTTGAAGAACCTTCTCCAAACTCACCTACATTTCCATAAGAAACAGCAGTTGTATATTCGTAAGTTCCAGGAACTATTTCTGACCTTCTAATGGCATTGTCGCATTCGTTATATTCGGAAACATTTCCATTCATGGCATCCAAAACTGTTGGCGTTATATTCTGAGCGGCGTACATTTCATATGGGTATAAATATAGAATAGTTGTATTTATGTGTCATAATAGAACCCACTCGGACCAAGCTTTACTTTCTTCCTGACTGAGTTTTTAACTCTTCTTTTTCCTTCATTGCCACTACTTTCACTAGATGAAGTTACTTCTTCACTACTTTCACTTTGTTCTACTCTTCTCTTCTTCTTTGGTGTCGCTTTTGGTAACTTGCCCTCTGCTTCAAGTTGTTGCATCTTTGCCTCATGTTCACCTAGTATGTTGTAAATTTCCCATGTCCTTTTTGCCTTTGGGCTCTGGTCGCCCATCTCAGGTAACCTATATCCTAGAAAGATTTTGTCATAGTTTGTATTTGAGTCTTCGCGTATTGTTTGCATGACTCTTTCCTGAGTTTCCGGTTCAAGCTCTTCAAACAGAGCTTGTCCATATGGAATAAGCTCGTTTCCAAATATATGTTTTTGTAGCCATTCTGGTTTTCTTTCCATGTTACCAATTATATCTTTTGTGAATGGGAAAGCTTTTACCCAATGTTTCAGTCTTGGGTCATTTATTTCTGTAGTTGGTTTTATTTTGTCAAGGAACATGTTTTTCAATACTAACATTTCATTTGGTACTGTCCATTTGAGTTTTCTTAAATATTCATCCCTTCTCGGTTCATTGTCTGCAAAGTAAGTTTTTATGACATTTTGTAAACTTTCGTTTGCAAGGTCATGTACAATAGGTTCTCTTCCTTCTCTATCCCTAACTTTCTTTCTAAACTCTTCACCAAATATACCATCTTTATGGTTCTGTGTAGTTCTTTGAGATAAATGTTCTAGAACGTCAGGTGTTATATTTCCATCAGCCATGTTCATTTCATACTGGTCCAAAATATCTGCATGTTTCATATCTTTCAATGGCATTAAAGCCGCGCTGAAAATACCAGCTATATCTGGTTCACCATTCACTTCCATTGCGTCTACAACTTCTTGGAATTGTGGTTGTAAGTTTATGAACCACCTATCCGGGTTAGCTTTATGACCCCATCTCATTGTAGTTCCATAGTCTGCAGAAACAAAAGTAGGTTTGTTTCCATATTGGTTAGGTTCTGAATGAACTTTAAACAATGTTTCATTTCTATATGTTTTGTTGAAATTTAACCTTTTATTTTCACCGAGTTCAGCCAAAGATTGAACGTTATATGGTCGTAAGTAAAAAGGGTTATTGTATTTGCGTACATTTTCTTTCAGTACTTCCATTCTATGCTGAATATTTTCATCTGGTGTTGGAGTCTTTTGTATGTCGGCAAACATTTTTCGATATTCTTCTACTATGTCAGCCGAATTTTTCTTAGACTCTTGGAAAGATTCCATATTCTCCGCATACTCTTGTTGAGGGTCAAGATTTTTCGGCTGTTCCAAATCTTCATCTAGTTCTGTGAAGTTAGTTTCCAAAGGAGGGACTTGTTCGTTTCCTTCAGGCTCTTCTAGCTGTTGTTGCTGAACTATTTCTTCCATGTCTGGTTGTATCTGAACTTCTTCCTGTGGAGTTTCTTGTACTCATCTGCTGGCATTTCATATATTCCGAGACGTTTTTAACAAGTTCCCTATCTAAGTCATCCGGACTCATAAACCTTTCTTTTTCGTTCGTCTCTATTTTTTACGCGTTTCATGAAGAGAGTTGAATTATCATTTAGCTCTGACACCAAATATCTCGGAGTAAATTCAGTCATGTCATTTGGATGATATGCTATTAAATCATATCCCTTAGCGAGCTTGTATTTTCCAGGTTTGAAATTATATCCCATTTGGTGCTGAACCATAAAGCTAAATAGGTTCGGGTCAGTATTTCCTTCCTTGAACTTTCTAATAGCTTCTTTATATCTGTCACTAAAGTCAAGAGTATCTGGGTAACCATAGTCTTCCTTAAGCATTTTTAAGAATTCTTGGTTTCCTTGTTCTCTACTTCTTTTATGTCCTTGCTCTGTTTGTGGTTGTTGCTGTGCAGTGTTTTGAACTGTTGGTTGTGGTGCAGTGTTTTGAACTGTTGGTTGTGGTGCTGGTTGTTGTGTTGGTTGTTGTTGTTGTGCTGGTTGTTGTTGTTGTGTTGGTTTTGGTGCATGCCTGTGTCTGTGTCCATGTGACGATGTAAATGTTTTAGGTAGTCCTGGTGCAGGTGCTTCTCTTGGAGGGTTTGGTGGTATATAAGTTCCACCAGCTGGCACATATGTTCCATCTGCAGCATAATGTCCTACCTGACTTTTCGTTTTTAAGAAAGCATTTACTAGGTCTGTTTTGGTCTGTTGTAACTCTTTTCTTGACTTTCCACAACAGTTGCTCTAACGGCGTCATAGGCACTTTGAACTGCCTGTCTCGTTGCTGCATCTGTTATTTTCGTCATATTTTGTGCTACTTCTTTTAACTCTTTGTCGAAACCTTCAGACTTCAGTTTCTTTCCAGATGAGAAGTCGTTCACTTGTTTCACCTTACTATGAAGAGCTTCGAAGGCATTCTTAAAGTCAGCATTTGTTAAAGCTTCATTTGAACTGTCTTCATCCGCTTGTATTTTTGTCCTTATTGACCCTATAAGTTGGGCTGCTTTGGCGTTGGCTTGGGCATCTAACCAGTCATTGTTAGCTTTTATATATTCTGCGCTTTTCATTGCCTTTTGCATGGCTGCGTCGTTATTTTTACTTTCTTGTGCTAAGTTTTCATACTGTACGGTTTGGTTTTGCAACTGTAAAAGTTTTTCTGCATTTACATTTGCTTCAACTTCTTTTTTATACTCATCGCTATCCATATATGTCTTCAGGGCTTTTTGTTTTATCTCTTCATCTTTCAGTACTTTATATTGAGTAGTATGGTTTTTTCAAATTTATAACATCTTGTTCCATTTTTGCTACTTCTGCTGCTTTTTCTGACACTTTTTTCGCATATTCCTCTGTACTTAGTTCTTTCAGTTGTTCTTCTTTCTTCTTTTTCTCTACGTTTAACTCATTGAGTTTCTTTGTGTGTCTGTCATATTCTAGTTTCTTTTCGTTTTCACTTATTTGTTTCTGTATGTCTATGTTTGACTTTTTGACATCTGATATTTGATTTTTGAGTGAACTCAAATTCATTTGACTTTGAGGGTTATAAGCTGTTCCGTCTGCAGCTCCACCATAGCCTGCCATTTTCGCTAAAAGTGCCGCTCTTAAACCTCCACTCTGTGCACCAATAACTCGGTTTAAAAGCATAGGGTTGCTTGACATTTGTTGCAACATAGTGGGGTCATTCATCATTTGTTGTTGCAACTGTTGTTGTGGTGTCAGTTTTACTATTGGATGTTTCAATGCTCCCTTCCTCTTACGTATATTCTTACGTAGCTTACGTGGCATTTTAAGTGAAGTTAAAAAGCGGTTTTTGACAGATGTTTATATGACACTTTTTGTTCAGCACAAAAAACTACTCGGTCAAAGTGTTGTCAGTTTTGTAAAATAACCGTCCTATCTCATTCTATAAGGGGAAAAAGGCTTCTCAAAGTTTACTTCCGTGGAACGCCTGTAACTTTTCCTGTAGCGACGATAGACCCTTACTTGTCCGGACAAAGTTATACTAAACATCTTCAGGGCTAGAGGGCACGAAGTGCCTGGAGGCCCCACTACCCTTTTTTTTTTTTTTCTTGTTATATATATATATCAGATGATATAAGATGATTTTTTTAAATAAAAAATAAAATTTAATTTTTTAATTGTTAAAATAAGAATAGTAAGCTTGACAAGTAATTTAAGTTTTTGCTTTGTAAAGTTATTTGGTTGGCAAATGCATTGTGTCACTTTTTGTTTGAGTTCACTTTCCGTAATTTGTCTTATGATAATCTTTTTGTTGTAAATAATATTTCAATTGATTGATTGCAGTTTGTTTCATAGTCATGTGAATACAAGTATAATCTTTAGGTATTTCAAGCGTTTTGTTGACTTCTTGTGTTGCATTAAGTGGACTTCCGTGATTCATGAGAAATTTTTTAATCCAAGCACGGTAAGTACCACTTGTAGGTGTATTTTTATGTTGTGGTGGTGGTCCTGAGTGAATATGAGTTAAGTTTGCAGATTTAAAAATGTAATTGTCGAAATTTTTAATAAATTTAAAGCCTGCTGGGCAGCCTTCGTATTCGCATCGGTGGTAGATTAATACTCCTGTTCCAATTGATAGTTTTTGTGGGTCTTTGACAAATCTTATGTTACCATGCAGCTCTGCAGCTATAACAAAACGAGAATATTCTAAATATCCTATGGCTTGGTCAACCTCGCATGGAGGATCGGGTGGAGGATATTGCATTGAGCAGCAAAAAGGAAAAATAAAATTGAAAACTCACATTGAAAAAATAACGGTTTAATAGAAAATATTTTTTTTCTTCTGAAAAAGAATTATCTTTGAGTATCTAAATTGGGATAAAGGATAAAGAATAGATAACTAGTACTTAATATATGATACATGTACACGAAATGGAAGAATGTGTACTAAAAGAAAGAGAAATTTTAGCTTAATATTTTACATACGAATCAATTATCTTTGGTTAAAAGGTAGAATTGTTGGCTATGATGTACTGATTCATGATCAGTACATCATAGCCAACAATTCCTTATACAAAATTCAAAAACTTGGGTGCAATCAGTTCTGATTGCACCCAAGTTTTTGAACTTTCTTGAGGGAATTAAAGGGTGAGAGATTTATAGTCTATCTATATATCTCCCACCCTCTAATTCCCTCCCTGACAGCGGGAAACTTTGTCTGAATGTTAAACTATTCGGACAAAGTTTCCCGCTGTTTGCGAAGGAATTGTTGGCTATGATGTACTGATTCATGATCAGTACATCATAGCCAACAATTCCTTATACAAAGTTCAAAAACTTGGGTGCAATCAGAACTGATTGCACCCAAGTTTTTGAACTTTCTCGAGGGAATGAAAGGGTAAGAGGTATACATTATGAATATATACCTCTTACCCTTCATTCCCTCTCTGACAGCGGGAAACTTTGTCTGAATGTTAAACTATTCAGACAAAGTTTCCCGCTGTCAGCGAAAGAATTGTTCCATCTGGTGCATAGAGTGTGAATCTATGCACCAAATGGAGCAAGTCCCTCGCGAAATTGCCAAAACTTGCGTCGCATTTCAAAGATTGCGACCCAAATTTTGGCGATTTCTAGTAGAGATGGAGTATTTTGAGTCACTGACCTATATGCAGTGGCTCAAAGGGCTCCATCTCTACTTTGAAGCAAGGAAACTTTCCTCGAAATTTTGATAATTTGAAGAAAGTTTTCAAGCAATTAACAAAGGATTACTCGCTATGAGGTAAAAATTCTAGATTTTCACCTCATAGCGAGAGCTTCCCTTTCATTGCTTGAAAACTTTCCCCAGCTTCAAAATTGGGGAAAGGGCTGTAAAGTCGACTCCGATACCAGCAGGTACCAGAGTATTTAAAAGAGAAGCCCTCGTACGAGTTTCTATGAAGACCTTCTCATTCAAGAAGATCTTAATAGAAAATCGTACGAGGGCATTGGAAACTCGCGTCTGGTACATGTTGGTACCAGAGTGTTTGAGATTTGAAGACTCTGGTACTAACATGTACCAGAATTTATGATGAATTTAAGATGGACCATTATAAAATGGTAGCGGTTTGTTTCAAAAAATTTTAGATGAGATTTGCATAGATATAGATTATATGATTTATACATATGAAAAATAATATATAAAAATATAATTTTGAGATAATTATGTAAATAATATTTTAAATATTTGAATTTGAGGTATAATTTTATAGTAAAATATATTATAAAGAGTATTTATATAAATATTGTAAAATAATATAAGTAATAAAAATTGAGACCCCCTCCCTGTTTTTGATGTTTTGTCACTTTTTCGGTAATTCTTATTGTTTCAAGTCTTTTGCATTCCTGACTGTATGAACTCTACAATAGCATAATATTTTCTCTTACGTCGAATGTAACGTTGAAGAAATTCAATGAGTTCGCTATCTGGAACTTTAACGACAGATGCTTGAACTTTACTCATGAATGTTTTCGCTGTTGAATCCATAGAGTCTGAAGTTGCTGATATAATGATTTGGTCATAGTAAGAGTCGTTTCCTAAACGCTCTGTTATGAGTATATGACGAATGAGGTTAAATGTCTTACCTGAACCCATCTTTCCACAATAGAAATACACACCATTTGAACAGAATTCATAATCTTTGCTGAAAGGAAGAATAAGAGAAGAGTTAAGTTTGTCTGTAGTTTCATTCATGTCTTCATCTACGTCATGTATTAAATGCTTCATTTTATCTCCATTAAAAATGCAAGTCAGAAATATTCAGAACATAGCACCGAGTCTAACTGACAAGAGTATAAAGATATACTATGAACACGTTATGATGAAACCAACCAAAATTCAAGAAAGTCAGTATACTTATGAATATCCAAGACACTGGGTAGAGTATGTAGGAGGTGAGAAAGCTATTGAAATAAGACAAGTTAGAAGTATTCCAGCAGGAAGAACAATATTATTGAAGAACTTTAATGTTTTGAGATATAATGATGAAACAAAGAAGCAAGATAGTTTCCCTGTTGCTGTGTATGTGAACTTAGATACAGGAGATGACATGAAAGTTTTTAACACAAAGCTTCAAACGGTATTGAAAGAACAACTTATAGCAGAAGGACACCCATTACCTTCAGAAGTTACCATAGCATATAATTTTGAAACAAATGCAATAGATTTTAAAATCGTCTCTGCAAAGAAGTCAGGTTTTACATTTAATGAAGCAGATATATATTCGAATGAAAACTTCAAAGCTATTGCATGGTTAGATAATGACGATTGCTTTAAGAAAATCTTTAAATTCAGTGACTCAAAGATGTCAATAGATGACCTTCGTGGAATGTTACCATCGACGTTTACAGTTGAAGGTTCAGCAGGATTGCTTACAAGATTGTCAATTGGTGGCGTTTGGTCTCGTGAGAACATTGTTATAAAATCCAGTATAAGTGAATTTGCTGAAGAATCTATATTATGTCTTTCAAACTACATGTATTCGCCACCGAAGCATTATAGTATAACAAACTTTGTCAGTAAGTTTAACATAAGACTTGTCGAACCTTCTTCAATGAAAGATGTTGTGCTACCTAAAGATGGAAAGGATGGACTCATTATTGAGATGATTTTAATTGCATATTAAATGAGCTTGTTCTTGAAAGTCATTCATGATGAAATAACTGTTGTAGAAGATGTTAGCAATTGTTCAGACATTTTGAAGCGAATAGATGAGATAAGAAAGAAGTTAGATAGACCGCAAAGCGGTGAGGGTGAAGCCCGTGAGAATGTTTATGTTTCATTGACTTTCTCCAGTAACGAGAACTTTTATGAGATAATATTGAAGAGAGATGATTTTAATATGGGGTAAATGGTAGCTTGGGCAGTTTTAGGCGCAATGGGAACAAAAGCATTAGCATTTGGAGCAAAAGCACTTGGAGCTTATGACGCAGTAAATAAAATGAGTGGAGGAAGGGTTTCAAAGACATTAGATGCAAATAAAGGAAAGATTGGAGGCTGGGTTGCAAAGAAGTTAAGATTAAATAAAATGGGGCTCATAAATAAAGCATCCAATTTGGTTGCGACTGAGTCAGAAAATGCTTTAGGAAAGGACGATGAGTTTGCAAAACACGCAAAAGACTTTAATGACCAGATGAAAGGTGAAACAATGCATTTAAATAGAGTCGATGGAACTAAAGAAAATGTTTCTTCTCCACCAGCGGTTTATCCATACGGACCTTATGGAATGTATGGAAACCCTTACGAAAGACCATTTGACCCATTGACTGGTGGAAGTAACTGGTATCATTATGGACGAAGAAGAAAGACAGTCAAGTTGGAGACGGACGTGAAGAAAGCAACTAAAAAGAAACCAAGGAAGAGAGTTATAAAGCAATGAATTCAACAGGGTGAAAAAAGAGGTGAGATCTCACCACTTCACCTAAATTTATTTTTGTGCTATGTTTTCATACGTGTGAGGGTGGTGATATCATTTATTTTTAAGTTTATTTTTAAGTTTATTTTTATATAAATGACGAAAACTATTGAGATAACAAACTACAACGGTCATGAGTTCAAGAATTTGTTCTTCGTTCCTCGTGAAAATACATTCTATCAGATACGAGGGAGAAAGGGTAAAGTTAGTTTGAGCGTTTATGACAAAGAGCATTATGGAAGATATATACAAGCAATAGATACAAACGGTAAGTGTGTTTCATTAGCTTTGTCAAAACTTATAAACATTAATTATGACAGTGACTTTGACCTATATGAAGAAGAAAGTGAGTCAGAAGATTATGAGCTGTTATGTGAAGCACAGCAATGGGAGGAGTTGCAATACTTTTGTAAGTGAGAACATTAATGGGAACGTTAGTGAGAACGTTTATTTTTTACATTAGTGAGGTGAAGTGGTTGGCGGCTTTGTAAATATTTAAGGTTAAGTTAGTGTTGTCGTTTGTGTTGTAAAATATACGTTAACGGTTTCGTAAAGTGTCAAACCGTTATCATGGGTAAGGTGGAACGCAGTGCCGCCGTACCCAAGATAGGGATACTAACTCTTGTCAAGCACGTTATTTAGTTAAAATTGAGAACAGTTCAGTTTCCGAAGATTTACAAAAGGAACATATATCCGAATGCAGACAATTTAAAAAGTTACAAAATGAAAAAAATGATCTTCATAAATCAATGACTCTGACAGAAATATACAATAAGGCAATGGCAAAATTTTCTGAAGACAACGGCACTTTTCAGCAGATTAAAAAATTTATGACAGAACTTGCTGTTGGTACTGATGAAAACCCATTAATTAAAGATTCATTGGTCGGGGAAGTTTATAATAAGTCCAGAAAATTTTCTGTTGGAGAAAAAATTACAGACGATGAAATTGCTAATTTTTGTTTAATAAATGGCGAGCAGTTTTTCATTGGCCATGATTTTCAAGCAAATTGTGAGACGATGTTTTTTGGTTTTGAGAAGGCAATTTAATTTGCAAAAGAAGCCACAGATTTATTTTGCGATGGAACTTTTAAAATTACACCAAAACATTTTCAAAAAGGACAGATGCTAACAATTATGATTTGTGAACCTTCAACAAATCAATATCTACCACTTTTATTTATATTCATGAAAAACCGCACATTTGAATCTTATATTTTCAAGTTCATCGAAAGAGATCGAAAAGCAAACGTTCCACATCTACAGAGAAAAAGAATTGATATATGAAGTCTAATTCCTTTTATAACTACTATATTTTTATTCTTATGACTAAAAAATAATATATTATTTAACAATTTTCATTTTTTTCTTTTAACAATTTCGTTTTATTTCCATTTATTGTTAAATGATTTTTAGCATACACCTTTCTTTGTTCATCTTCTAAATACAATTTATTTTTTCTTAGATATAATTCTATTCATTCAATTCGATCGTCATTTTTCAGTACATGATCGTAATTTTCAATTATTGATCGCGATTTTACTTCAGAATTTGTTCGCAATATTGCTTATCAAAATTATATCTCTATTCTCTCATTTCTGTTTAGTCAATATCATTACACTCCTATTGTCTAATAACATGCTATTAATTTTCTTAAAATTAAAAAAAAACATCAACTTTTAAAAACAGAAACTTAACATCCTTAGGTCAATGGATTTTGATGTGAGATACATTTAATCTGTTTTTCTTTTTTTATTTTAAATAATTGAATATTTATAGTTGTTATGGGTCTTACATCATGTAAAACGAATTTTCTTAAAGTAAATTTACTTTTTCTTCAATCTTTCTTACATATTTATTAAAAAAAAAATTATCCAAAAAAAGATGTTTTAGAATGAAAAAAAAATAGAAAAATCTTCATTTATAGTCTTTCTTGAATGTATACGTTTTGATTTTTTTCTTTTTTAAAAAATTCAATTTCTAGAAAAATCGAGAAAAAATCATTTTCTTCTATTTTTTAGGACGCCATACCCATTGAAATCTCTTCTCAGGACGCCATAAACTATTCAATTATGGTGTAAACTTCTCAAAATTGAATAGTTTACATCAGGACGCCTGAGGACGCCAACCCTTTACGCGCCCATATTCTTACGGTGAATAATTCGAAAATTTCATTGAAGAAGGATAGTTATGTTTTATCATGAATGAAAATGTTTTCAGTATGAGCAATTATTCCATAGTAGATTATAGGACTCATTAATAAATCGGAGAAATAATTCGTAAAAAATGATATGTAATCGACAATCCTCAAAGAAATCTACAATGTTATATTGTCATCTTATTAATGATATGTAATTCAAGTCTCAAAAATATGGAAGAACACAGGTTTACAAATCTCAACAAAAAGTATAAAAAATTTTCTGAATGCCTTTCTGGGTGACAAAGGCAAAGCGCAAGGGTCTTGCTAAAAAGCTGCGTATTTGCCTTGAAAGCATCAGAGTTTCTCAAACAGCACAAAAATATAAACAATTAACGCCAATATTAGATCAAATTAACGAAACTTTCATCCAACCAGAGTTTCAACAAGACGATTTACCTCATATTCTGAATGGAAAAATATATCGCGATCATACAGTTGCAATGTTAATTGGTCTTTTACCATTTTTTGATCAACCTACAATTAATGCAATATCAACACTATTTCAGACGACTATTAGAGAATTTCCAGACGAATCATTGCCGAAATATTTAATCGAACACACAGAAACTTTAGATCAACTTTTATCTTACTTTAATCAGCCCAACATTTCAAATTCAGCTCATATAATTCTTCGATCATGCGCTATAGTAACCGATTTTACGCGTTTCCTCTTTCAAAATGGATGCGTAGGGTCGTTTGTTCAATATCTTTCGAGTGATAACTTTGATCATCTGTCTACCGCATTTGCGACATACGAATGTCTTCTTATGATCCATCCAGACGTAACCGCTGAGTATTTCTCAGTAAAATGGCAAATTTTTGCTATACAAATCAAACAGCTTATGTCATCGCCGAATTATTTAGTTCAGCTCACTTTTCTTCCTATATTATTTAGATTTATTACAAACGAAAGCTGCAAAAGTATATTTTTCAGGTTTTTGGACGATTCCGAAAATCTTCAGCTTATTATGTGCATTCTTAAGCGAAATTCGAAAAAGATACAGATGCATGCGTACTCAATCTTCAAATTATTCATCTTAAATCCAAGAAAAGCGCCGCCAATTGTAAATTTAATTAAAAATAACAGATCTCAACTTATTAAGTATCTCAAGGACTTCAATTTTGATGAAAATGACGTAGAACTTGAGAATGAGAAACAAACTTTGATTTCTACTATTGCGAATATGTAATACTGTCAAATAAACTTTTATCATTATGTTTTGTAAATAATTTTCACCCTTTTTTATTTTTCTGATACCATTCCAAAATTTCAAAAGAGAAATTTGTAATTTCTCGTTTTTTTTGGGGGGGGGTCGGCGTCATGACGGCGTCACGACGTAAACCATTGAAAATTGAATAGTTTACGTCATGACGCCGAAAAAAATTCAGACTCATGGCGTCACGAAGTAAAGTGAATTTTTAACTACTTAAGGGTTTCGTTTTGCTAAAATTGTCACTTTTATAGCATATTTGTTTTTGGATGTTTTGCGAAACCAAAAAAAAAAAAAAAAAAAAAAAAAAAAAAAAGGTAGTGGGGCTTCCAGGCACTTCGTGCCCTCTAGCCCCGAAGATGTTTAGTATAAATGAAGTTTTTATTCGGAAAATTGTTAGTCTTCTGGTGTGAATTCGGAGGACTCTTCTTCTTCCTCCATTGCTTCTGGGAAGAAGCCTTCTTCTGGGTCGAAAACATTATATAATGTGTCGCTTTTCACAAATTATATATGTTTTCATGCTTTGTCACTTTTCTGTCACTTTTCAGGAAAAAACATTTTTATTATTATATATAAATGAATTTTACAAAACCACCGTTACCGTTCTTTGGAAATAAGAGTAAATGTAAAGATATTATATTGAGAGAACTTAAGAAACTACCGAATGGTCTAACATTTGTAGATTTGTTCGGTGGAAGTTTCTATATATCCCATTTGTGCCATACAATATTCCCAGACTCAAAGATTATATGCAATGACTTCGACAACTATATGGACCGTCTCAAACATATACCAGACACAAACAATATATTGAAAGAGTTAAAAGAAAAGATACCTATAGGTAAGATGGAACGTATACCATTAGATAACAAAAATATTGTGAGAGAGGTTTTGAAAAAAGCAGAATATATAGACTGGGATAGTATATCTGCTAGACTATTATATTGTTGTAAGACGAGTTACGGAAAGTGAGGTGAACCGAAAAAGTGACACTTATTTGGTCGGATAAATTCCCTATATATTTACTTGTCAAAAAAAATCAGACTTTTTTTGCTTTAAAAAATTTATAAGTTAATTATTGAGAACGAAGGTGAAAGGAAATGGATATCTCTTACCTTTCATTCCCTCGAGAAAGTTCAAAAACTTGGGTGCAATCAGTTCTGATTGCACCCAAGTTTTTGAACTTTGTATAAGGAATTGTTGGCTATGATGCACTGATCATGAATCAGTACATCATAGCCAACAATTCCTTCGCAAACAGCGGGAAACTTTGTCTGAATAGTTTAACATTCAGACAAAGTTTCCCGCTGTCAGAGAGGGAATGGAAGGGTAAGAGGTATATATTCATAATGTATACCTCTTACCCTTTCATTCCCTCGAGAAAGTTCAAAAACTTGGGTGCAATCAGTTCTGATTGCACCCAAGTTTTTGAACTTTGTATAAGGAATTGTTGGCTATGATGCACTGATCATGAATCAGTACATCATAGCCAACAATTCCTTCGCAAACAGCGGGAAACTTTGTCTGAATAGTTTAACATTCAGACAAAGTTTCCCGCTGTCAGAGAGGGAATGGAAGGGTAAGAGGTATATATTCATAATGTATACCTCTTACCCTTTCATTCCCTCGAGAAAGTTCAAAAACTTGGGTGCAATCAGTTCTGATTGCACCCAAGTTTTTGAACTTTGTATAAGGAATTGTTGGCTATGATGCACTGATCATGAATCAGTACATCATAGCCAACAATTCCTTCGCAAACAGCGGGAAACTTTGTCTGAATAGTTTAACATTCAGACAAAGTTTCCCGCTGTCAGAGAGGGAATGGAAGGGTAAGAGGTATATATTCATAATGTATACCTCTTACCCTTTCATTCCCTCGAGAAAGTTCAAAAACTTGGGTGCAATCAGTTCTGATTGCACCCAAGTTTTTGAACTTTGTATAAGGAATTGTTGGCTATGATGCACTGATCATGAATCAGTACATCATAGCCAACAATTCCTTCGCAAACAGCGGGAAACTTTGTCTGAATAGTTTAACATTTTGGAGAACGGTTTCGACGTTAATACCGCTTTGAATAGTTTAACATTTTGGAGAACTTATACAAAGTTCAAAAACTTTGTCTGAAGAATTCTTCCATCTGTTAAAGGGACATTTTGGAGAACGGTTTCGACGTTAATACCGCTTTGAATTTGTTGATTAGCTTGATTTAACCATTCTAAATCAATTAAATCGAAGATTCTACCACTCATTGGAAAATTATAAGTTTTGAAAAAAACCGTAAATCATTATTGAATCTAAAAATATTTATGTACAAAAAGTCGGTATATATTCTATAATTATTTAAAATAATGAAAAAGTTGATTTGTGAATCATTGAAATATTAATGCTGTTATATATATATATCAGATGATATAAGATGATTTTTTTAAATAAAAAATAAAATTTAATTTTTTAATTGTTAAAATAAGAATAGTAAGCTTGACAAGTAATTTAAGTTTTTGCTTTGTAAAGTTATTTGGTTGGCAAATGCATTGTGTCACTTTTTGTTTGAGTTCACTTTCCGTAATTTGTCTTATGATAATATAGTGGTGCTATAAGAGTTCATGACATTGAAACACTTATGTCAAAAGTTTTATATCTTAACTATACAAATGTTTTCAAAGAGGACATAGAAAAATATATTGAGGGTATAGAGTTTGTGAGATGTCATTGGACAGAGTTGTATGAAAAATATAAAGACAAGGAAAATGTTTTCTTTATAGTGGACCCGCCGTTCTATAACACATGGGATTTTCAATACCAAGTAGACTGGACTTTGAGAGACTCTTTAGAAACTTTAGACGTTATACATAACCATCCATGCTTTTACTTTACATCCGATAAAAGTGGTTTGGAAACCGTTATGAGATGGTTAGAGGACATACATGACTATGAGTTTAGATATGACAAGATAGAATATGAGAGAGGTCCTATAAACCGGAGAAAGTGTCATAACAAAGAAATTTTATTAGTAAGTAAATGTGGTTTGAAATAGGACTACTTGTTTTAGGTTTTTTCCATTGTGTCATTTATTTCTTTGACGTGGCAGAAAAGTACAGAGAATATGAAGATGAACCAATGCCTGCAAATGTTCAGCATATGTACTCGTAAGAGATATTTTTATCTAATATTAAATGGACGCACAGAACTTAGCGAATGCACAGCAACCTGGACAACCAAACCCAGAGAATATTCCAAATGAAGTTAGAATACAAACTGCAATGGCAAACTATGGTCAAGTGCCAACAGATGTACAAATGCAAACTGCCATGTCAAATGACGCTGCGTTAGGTTTGCCACCATGGTATGCAAATATGAGATGGAAAGAGTTTTATACAAACCCTGAAGTGGGATATAAACAACTTTATGCAGATGACGCGAACACAGGAGTTGACCCAGAATATGTTTTCTACCAGAGGAGAAACAGAATGTATGAGCTCCAGTTAAAGAATGCTATGGAACTCAACAGGAAACGTAAGAGACTAGGCGGACATTAGATTTTTACATATAGTAAAATGGGTTTCTTCAGTAAGATAGGAAACTTCTTTCGAAATGTTGGAAGAGGTATATGGAATGGAATAAAAACCGTAGGAAGAGGAATTGGAACGGAGTCAAAAATATTGGTAAAAGAGTAGGTCAGTTCGTTGGTATATATACCTAAAGACCCTGAACCAGAAGAGCAAGCTCCTGTTATACAACAGCCTGAACCTGCACCACAGTCTAGTTGGCAACCAAATCCAACACCTCAACCGTATTAAAAAATTATATTTTTACCGTTCGATAGTAGTTGTATATGAAACTAAGTTCTAAGTAAAACGCATGGTATAATGGAATTATTCTTTTTCTTCCATCTGTAGTAAACCATACTTGAAAGTCTGAAATACTTCCACTTGGTGGTTCGTATAACTTTGTAGGTTTTTCGTAAAAATCATTTGCCAAGCATAAGAAAGAGTTTTGGGCGCCAGAAAATGAAGCACAAATGAACAATAATAGCAGCTGGGTCGAAAACATTTTCATATGTTCCATTAGGGTTTTCGACTTCATAAAAGTCTGGGTGTACTGGATATGCTGCAGGCTGATTTAACATCCTCATAAATCTATACCATGCCAAGTTGTTATATTTTGTAGAAATATAAACGTTTTCTCCAAGGTCTTCTATTCTATTGATTTTAACAGTTGCATTTTTCCTGTCAAATAATATCGAGATGGTATTCTCCCTCGTCAATGTTATACTGTTTTGCATATTCGATATAGATATCGTTTATTTTTTCTTGAAAAGCTTGAAGAGTTGTTTCTAAGTTTACAAGCAAACTAACTTGTAAAAGTTTTCCCTGTTCAAATTTCTCATACATACGTTTTTCTTTGTTATAGTATCGAACTTCAAAACCGACCGTAAATGGGAAACCATGTATGGCTTCTGAAATGAACTTCATTCTACGAAAGCCAATAGCTTTTTGTGACAGATGGTCTCTTAACCATCTTAATGGGTAGTCAAAACGATAGCCTTCATGCTTTACGGTCTCTGTCTCAAACTTTTGACCGACATTAGTAAAAAGTTCATCTAATGGTTTAGTTGTAGCAACTCTTGAATTTTCTTTTTCTATTGAAAGCATATTTTATCTAGAATAAAAATGTCGAAAGAAACAGCGTCTATGAGAGAAATACAACACAACCGACAACTCATTATGCAAGCTCTAAATAAGAACACAACAAACTTTTCAAACTATTCTAAGATATCTGAGTCATTGAAAGAAGGAAACTTAAAACTGACATTAAACCCAATGACAGATGAGTTTCTGTTTCAAGACAAGAAGAACCATACTGTCTGTATAAATCCAACAAAAGGAACTTTAAACGAGAAACCTATAAATGAACTTCTTTGAAAGCAGATGTTGACAACAAAGCTGACAAAGAATATGTAGACGATGCAATAGCAAAA